GTGTGTGTGTGTGTGTTCATTAATGTAGCTGCATTTAGTCGGCACTAGCCAGGAGGAGCTCAAACATGGGGTTAGGATGGGCAGTGACCGTGTAAACCTCATTCATATTGCTGTGTCTTTACAGTTTTTAGTGTTTCTCAATATTATGTTTTACCACTAGAAACCCTAACAACCTGCACACAGGAACTAAAGTCACTGAACATATATTTGTAATAATGCTTATTATTATTATTATTATTAATATTATTATTATGTTTGGAAAGGTTGAAAATCTGATAGTAGGTGTTTTTTTGTTTTTCCACACCATCAGTAATGATCTTTTGGTAAACGTGGTATGGATTCTCAGAACCTCAAGTGTCACATTTTACCACAAAAATGAGGAGTTCCTTTTAATCGCGCACACATTCACTTGAAACACATCACCGAGGAGGAAGTGGGGAAACCACCTGGGAAGATTTCATCACCCTCCTCACATGGAAACTGATGAAACTTTAACAATACAAAAACTATTTACCCACACATCTACCAATGTAGAACCAGGAGTAAGTAGTATTTAAGCAATATATAACACTGGTAGTACAATGTGGTACCTTATGTTCTACTAGTGCAATAAAAGCGCTTTAAAGACTTTTACAGCGCTAGTAGATCATAGAGGGAGCGCCTTACCTCAGCCTCAGGACCCGGGCTGCCACTAATGATTACTTGCTTCCTTGTTTAAACAAAAACGTCTTTCAGTCATCTCATCATTTGAGTCTCTAAAATTTAACAAAATATTGAGAAATGCCAAGTTACACAGTCATGTTGCTTGTTTTGTCCGTTCCACAGTCGGTATTAACATGTGAGCAGCATGTTTGGATTTGTCCATGATAAATGACTTCAACCTTGTAATTTAACCTGTTGATCAACCAGGGCCTGGAGCTGTGCAGCTTTTAAGATGAATTAAGCTGTTATTTTTAAACCATGGACACAGATCAGACATTGCCACGTGTGTTTAGATTTGACATTACAGGTTGTTTTAACTCCCCAGTACACTCCGGTTATATATTGACATTTACTTGCCAGCTAGGCTAGTTCCTGATGTAATTGCCTCCCTGCTGTCTCTTCTCCACAGTTTCTCTACCTGTTGGACTGAACGGCCCTCATCATGTCTAAAGGTACCGTGGTTCTGGCCTACAGCGGAGGACTGGACACATCCTGTATTCTGGTTTGGCTGAAGGAGCAGGGCTACGATGTTATCACGTACTTGGTAAGGTTTAGAGACCAGCGTGTGTGTGCGACAGGTGCCTTTAGTTAGTGTTTCCGACCAGCTGCTTTCGCATGTCATGTGTGTCTGAACTTCTACAATTTGCTGTTCAGACAGCTGACGCAGTTTGTCATACAGGCATGTAGGAGCTTTCTATGGTCTGTCCTGTAGGCTACCGGTACCGGTTAACTCCTAACCACTGGATTTGACTTCATAATGCCAGCGCAAATCTGGCTGGATTTACTTTTTGCCCTGTGGCAGTTTAGAAGTGCGGGGCAGGCAGATTTTCTCGCTGTCTAACTCTTCATTCAGTGGTTTTGTGGTTTGGTGTGGGGGGATGGGTGTTGGTCCATAGTTCACTGCCGTGGCACGCTAGGTGCAGACCTCCAAATCGTTTTGGCTCTCCAGGGCAGCTGAAGAAGAATGGGATGCACTGATCCAATTCATAATCCATTGTCTTTGAACGAATGACATAACTATGCACTTGCGTCAACTTGTCAAAGAAGATTGCCTCAACGGTCAGGCAGGAATAACTACTTATGCAGCTCAGCAGATCAGACACCTCTTTTAGTCGTTTTTATTCTTGGTCTTGGCTGTGAGGAGGTTGTTACACCTCCTCAAGAGGCGTGATCTGAATGACAAGATGACAGTTTGTCAGACTTAACACTTTCACAGTCATGAGTCTGCATATCTTTCCACATGAGCTCTGAACTGAAGTAACTCCGCAGTTTGTATTGATGTAGTTTTAGGTGCAAATATGAATTTAATTTTGTATATTTGCTTCACTGTGATTTTTTTTTTTTTAGGCCAACATTGGGCAAGATGAAGATTTCGAAGCCGCCCAGAAAAAGGCAGAAAGCCTCGGGGCAAAGAAGGTAAGAGACAGAATCAAATACGATGTTGCTTTAAGGACAGCATCTGTGTGTGTGTGTGT